CATTCTTCAGAAGAAAACATAACTTCAAAAGGTTGTTTTAACTCTTTAAATCTATGAAATGTTAAATATGCAGTTGCAAATCTCACAAAAAATAAGTCGAATAATTTTAATTAAGTACCCAAGAGTGAATATAAATGAACTTACTGATGAATTTGACCTTTAATAGGATTAATTTATGCTGAGACAACTGTCACAACCTCTCAAGCATTAAATCAATGTAATGTGCAGTACATGGAGTCCAATAAATATGAGTCTTCTTCTTCATTACTAATCTCCATGCAGCTTTGTATGCACTTGCATTATTAGTAATAACTTGTATCACTAAGGCCTCTCGTGCTTTCCCTACAACTTCATTCAACATTTTAAATAATAATTATACATCCTTTAAAGAAATTCACTTAGATCTAATGAAAATTATGAGGATATTGATTAATCCCGAAAAAAAATGATATAAGATGATCATTCTCAAGAAGTCTATATGATTAACGATTGAAAAAATAACCCCTATAAATGGATTCAGGTCAACAAAAATGAAATGGAGAGTAAGAATTCAAAAAGTCAACAACAACAACAACAACATCAAGCCTTTGTCCCACTACGTGGGGTCGGTCAGAAAGTCAACTAATAAAAAAAAATCCAAGTATCCAACAAGTAATTTGTATTTCATAAAATTTGTATCGATTATGGGAAGCAGAGGAAGAGGAAGCAAACAATGAAAGATAATTAGGGAAATAAATCGTTACCTTCGTGGAGAGGTACGTCAAAGTCAAGAAGGTGGCTGCTGAAGTCAACAAACACTCGAAGATGAAGCAAATGACGGAAAAAAAATATTGTTACCTACACTACAGCAGTAGAAAACAAACCCTTTGATTATGGGAAGCAGGCGAAGACGAAGCAAGCAATGAAAGAGAGTTAGGGAAATAAATTGTTACCTTCGCGAAGAGGTATGTAGAAGTCGAGAAGGTGGCTGCTGAAGTCGGCATTTCAACCTCCTTAGTTCTCATGCGAATCACTTGCTAACGAAAAGTAGACGAAGATGAAGCAAACGACGGGAAAAAACATAGAGATACAAAAGGAAATAAATCGTTACCTTCGCCTCCAGGTATGTCGAACTCGACCGAACTATGGCTATCGAAAACGATGGACTTCGCTTTCGTCTTTTAGTTCTCAAATGAAGCAGATACCCTAATACAACTACACCGCTCGGTGGTATATACATATAAACCTAGGTGGTGCCTCGTTAAGCCTCGAGGCGTTACGAATCCCTTCTTCGCACTTTTGTCTAGCACTTTAACTTGAGTGTCATATTTCCATTTAGAATCCTTCCATCTTGTTCCACTAGTCATATTAATAATTGATAAAAATAAATAATTAATATAAATAAAAATACAAATTTAATTATAAATTGATGACATATAACAATGTCTTTGTATGGAAAAATTTACAATTCTCATGTTCTAGAATTGATAACATATAAAAAAACTATATTATTTTAGATTTTAATGGCACAATAGCTTATTATTTATTTATCATCTTTAGTCATTATTTGTAGAGACAACAAAAGCTCGAGGAAGGTGAATGGAAAAAGCAAAATCAAAGTTGGATGTATGAAAATATGTTTGAAAGTTACATGTGAACATATTATTGTATTATGTATGAAAAAATATATGAGCAGAATCAAAATTGTATTTGGCTAAATTATGAATATTCAATTTGTTGTTTATATCTAAATTCAACAATGAAGGTTAATTCTCTCTTCATGCTTCTGCAGATTCACTTAAAGTGTTATTGATAAAATTTTCATAGAAACTTTCATTAGTAGAACAAAAATAACATCATTTGCATAAATTTATATTAAAGAGTTTTTAAAATATTTTTATTTTAAAATCATAAGTATAATGTTTCATCAGGTATTTTAGATGTTTCTGGTCAATGATTTCAACAAATTTGACTTAATTTTAGATTAAACCATAAAAATAAGTTGTAGAAAATATAGAAATACAAACCACTTTGGACAAATTTTTTAAGTTTTGGATTAATTCTTGTGAATTGTTGGATTCAATAAATCTCATATTTAATCAATAATGATAATGATAGATAGCTTTTATCATGCATGATAGATTATTTTTTTTCTTTTTCTTTTTTGGTATTTGAATTCATATTTGAATTTCAATAAGAAGAACATAATTTTCCTGTTGTCAACATTAAGCAAAACCAAAGGAAATGATGGGAATTAAAAATCTTTATCAATTTCAAGATTTGTGGAATGTGCCTGAATTCCCAATTAAGGAAAACTGGTATCTAAAGATGCTATGTTTGCAAGATTTAAATAAAATTAAACTGGAAGCCAAATGTTTTTCGAAGATGAGATTTTTTTGCATCTTAATACAAATAAATGCATGGGAATAATTCATAAATAGAAATTCACTTAGATCTAATGAAAATTATGAGGATATTGATTAATCCCGAAAAAAAAAATGATATAAGATGATCATTCTCAAGAAGTCTATATGATTGACGATTGAAAAAACAACCCCTATAAATGGATTCAGGTCAACAAAAACGAAATAGAGAGTAAGAATTCAGAAAGTCAACTACAACAATAATAACATCAAGCCTTTGTCCCACTACGTGGGGTTGGTCAGAAAGTCAACTAATAAAAAAAATCCAAGTATCCAACAAGGAAGTAATTTGTATTTCATCAAATTTGTATCGATTACGGGAAGCAGATGAAGAAGAAGCAAACAATGAGAGATAATTAGGGAAATAAATCGTTACCTTCGTGGAAAGGTACATCAAAGTCAAGAAGGTGGCTGCTGAAATCAACAATCACTCGAAGATGAAGCAAATGACGGAAAAAAAAAATTGTTACCTACACTACAGCCGTAGAAAACAAACCCTTTGATTATGGGATGTAGGCGAAGACAAAACAAGCAATGAAAGAGAGCTAGGGAAATAAATCGTTACCTTTGCGGAGAGGTATGTAGAAGTCGAGAAGGTGGCTACTGAAATCGGCATTTCAAACCTCCCTCAGTTCTCATGCGAATCACTTGCTAACGAAAAGTAGACGATGAAGCAAACGACAGGAAAAAAGATAGAGATACAAAAGGAAATAAATCGTTACCTTCGCCTCCAGGTATGTCAAACTCGACCGAACTATGGCTATCGAAAACGGTGGACTTCGCTTTCGTCTTTTAGTTCTTAAATGAAGAAGATACCTTAATATGACTACACCGCTCGGTGGTATATACATATAAACCTAGGTGGTGCCTCGTTATGCCTCGAGGTGTTACGATTCGAAGCGTACGCCCTGTACGAAAAAATCGCACGCTCCGCCCCACCCCTTGAGGCTTAAGCCTTGACGCGCATAGCTTCCGCCTTGGCTTGCGGCGCGCCTCTTGCGTGCGCCTCATCCGCCTTGTTATTTGATGCTCTATATGTTTTAAATTAAGAAAACTAAAATTAAACATGCACTCAACACATAGAATATCAAAGACAATCAATAAAATAAAACAAATACTTTAAACATATTCTTGTGATTAATCATATTTATGAAATTCTCTTAATTTATAATCATCATTAAAACAAAGTAATAATGCATTAATCTCATAACATATATTAATCTTTTTATACAATATTCTCAAAAGTTGTATTGTTAAAGCAATCCATAAACATTTGTTAGCAATTAAAACTTGATATCCTTTCATCTAAATTAATTTTTTAGTTATATTTTGAGTGGTGTAAATCTCATTAACTCAATGTATAATGTTTTTAGTGTGTGTGTGTATAAAGAGGTTTCATGGAGAAGTATGGAGAGAATAAGGAGGATCTACATATGATATTTATTGATTTAGAGTAATTATATGATAAAATTCTAAGAGAATTGCTCTGGAGAGTTCTAAAAAAGAAAGAAATTAATAATGCTTATATTCAAGTCATTAAGAACATATATAAGAGTTGTAACTTGTGTTTAAATATAAGCTGGTTTGATCAAGTATTTTCCTATTTCAGTTGGATTACATCAAGGACTAGCTATAAGCACATATCTTTTAGCTTTAGTCATGGATGTTCTTATGAGAATTTACAAGAGGATATACCCTGGGTATGTTTTTTGTTGATTATATTCTTCTTGTTGATAAAACTAAAGAGAGAGTTGAAAGAAAACTTGAATTATGGAGGTAAACATTAGAGTGTAAAAGTTTTCGTTTGAGTGGATGTAAAACTGACTATATGGAGTATAATTTTAGTAGTAACATTTCTAGTGAGGGGTATTACTACTTTAGAAGATCAAGTCATTAATAAGTAAACATTTTAAAAATATCAGGTTTATTGTTCTAAGTGATGGTGAAATAGATAGGAAAATTATTAGTAGAATTAAAATTGGATGGCTAAAAAGGAGGAATGCATTCGACCTGTTGAGTGATAGAAAAGTACCCCCTCAAATTTAAGGGAAATTTTTATAAGATGGTGGTGAGACCTGCAATACTTTATGGCGCAGAATGCTAGCCATTAAAAGAGAAGCATAAAATTAAGTTAGGTATTGCAGAGATAAGGACGTTCAGGTAGATGAGTGGCTTCACTTTTAGAGACAAAATGTGAAATGAGTATGTATGCGAAAAGATTGAAGTAGCTCCAGTGGCGGATAAGATTAGAGAGAGTCGCCTTAGATGGTTTGGTCACATAAAACATCCGGGCCTTTCGTTAACCTGGTTAGGAGAGTAGATATATTATAGTTGGCCTATGTTAAGAAATGAAGAAGTAGACCTACAAAGACTTCATTAGAAAATATTAGAAATGACATTTTTTTTATTAGATTTAAATGAAAATTTGACTCTTAACCTGACACAATGGAAACAAATGATTCATGTAGCCAACCCCATGTATTAAGATAAATGCTTGATGATATTGTATTTGTTGTATTAAATTTCACAATTTTAATTATGATTCATTACAAACACAAAATATTATCAAAAATAAAATCATAGTTAGAATTTACTCACTTGCTCCAATAAAGATAAATAAGTTGAAGGTGGTGTATGAAGGAGATATTAACAATTCTTTTCCTCTTCCCAATCGTCAACTTCCTATTAATCGACCTTGTTGAACCCAAGCAACTGAAGCTGCCGGCTACATAACAAAGAGTTCTTCCCTGCTCGCATGATGTCTTCCCTAGGAGACAACAATGATCGTCATCTCGATTCTCGCTTAATCACCTCCTTCATATGTCCGCCTTTGATACCTTGCTCTCTCAACCTCTATCATATTTGGGGCCCTAAGGGTCAGGATTAAAAAGAATAGCGAGGCCGTTAGACCCATTTGGTTTGAAAAGGAATTTTTTTATATATACACAGGTTGTTACATTATCATCCCATACTAGCAAAACTGATACCAGGCTCTTTCCTGATTTCCTTTGCTCTCATGTCAAACCTCAATCTCCCAGAATCTTCCCATCTCTCTGCTGCTGAATAAATATTCGAGAGCATCACATATGAACTTGTAGTAGGATGGAGTTCAATCAGCAACTTTCCAACTGCTTCTCCTACTTCAGCATCTCCATGGAAGTTGCAGGCCCCAAGCAAGGATTCAAGCAACTCAATCGAAGGTTTAAATGGCAGCTTCCTGACAAGATCAAAAGCTTCTATCAAATGCCCGCTACGGCTGAAGAGGTCAATCAAGCATGCATAATGTTCCATTCTTGGGGTGATATGATGTTTCTCCACCATTAATTTGAAGAAGATTCGTCCTTCTTCAACTAGGCCCGCATGACTGCAAGCTGACAGTATGCTAACAAAGGTTATATCATCAGGACAAGCACCACTCTCTTGCATCTTTAAGAACAGTTCCATAGCTCCTTCTCCATCTCCATGCATTCCATATCCATTGATCATTGTGCTCCAAGAGATTAAATCCTTCTCCTGCAACTCATCCAAGAGTCTCTTTGCAGTAGAAATACTTCCGGTTCTAGCATACATGTCGATGAAAGAATTGATCAGAGAGGTGCTCCTCTCAAAACCACTGCGAATGATAAAGCCATGAATGCATTGAGCTAAATCTAGACTACCCAGTTGAGTACAAGCAGAAACCAGGGTAAGCATTGTTACTGCATCTGGACACACTTGGTAATCCAGCATTTCCTTAAAAAAATTCAACACTTCTGTATGTTTTCTATGTGAATATATTGACATCATAGTATTCCAATAAACAACATTATTTCTATCCATTGTGCCAAAGAGGCGGCAACAGTATTCGAAGTTCTGAAATCTAGCATACATGCAGAGTGATGAAGTGTGAAGAGCGGTCTCTAGATTGTAGAAGTTTCTAAGGGCAAATGCATGGATTGATTTTCCTTGAATATGTGCCTCACAACAAGATAATATATTCAACAAGGTAACTGAATTCATCTTCTGTCCAACTTCTTTCATTTGATAAAACAATTTCATTACTTCTTTTGATGATTTGAATTTTCTGTAGCCTGTCAATAAAGCATTCCAAGAGACAGTGCTTCTAAAAGCCACGCTTTGAAATAGGATATGACTGTCATCCACAGAACCACAATTTGCATACATGCTTATGAGTGCATTTGCGAGGGTTGTATCAGAATCAAACCCATTCTTAATAGCAAGAGCATGAAATGACTTGCCAAGAGCAATATTTTCTGATTTATGGATGCAAGGTAGTATACTGATCATTGTTATCAAATCAAATTTCAGATCTTCTCTTCCAATTTGTCTAAAGAAAGCAACAGCGGACTGAGTGTCCCCAATATCAGTCCATCCACATATCAGAGTGTTCCAAGAAACCAAATTTCTATCTTGCATTATATGGAATAACTTGAGGGTATATTGAAACTGATTGCAATCAGAATAGAGTGCCAAGAGAGCATTCAATAAGTTGATGTTTGAATAAAATCCATTTCTGATGCTATAAGCATGAAGAGATTTTCCCAAGAGCAGATAGATAGACATTGCAGAAGCAGATATGGCACTTATTAAAGAGATTGAATCTGGATTAACCCTTTGGATGATCATATCACAGAAAGTAGCCAAAGCCAAACCTGGTAGACCATTAAGAAGATAGCCGGAGATAATAGAATTATATAGAAGGAGGCTCTTCTCTGGTGCAGTCTGAAATAAATTCTCAGCATCTTGCAATTTATCACTCTTAGCATACATAGACACAAGTGAGGCTACTACTGAGATTTGGCTAGCCAGTCCATCCTTGATTACAATAGCATGAATGGACTCGCCATAGCTGATGTCGGACAGGTCACAGGAGGACGAAAGAACAGATAACATTGTGACAAAATCAGGCCTTTCACCTTCAAAATTCATGAGCTGGAAAACCTCTAATGCTTTGCCCGGTTTCCCATTCTGCGAATAAGCAGAGATCATGGAGTTCCATGAAACCAAATCTTTCACCTTCTGCATCTCAAACAACATTCTTGCAGCAATCAAGTACCCAAAGGAAGAATACATTGAGATAAGAGTAGGAACCAAAGCCTCGTCATCCAAAATCCCACACTTGAGAGCAAAAACATGCAAAGATGCACCAAGACCTGGAGCTCTTAGCCGAACACATAGTGGAATAACACTAGCAAAAATGCTTCCATTAGGCTTCAAATCAGTCAAAAGCATCTCTCTCAATGATTTGAACGCATCTTGATTAAATCCATTCAAACAATAGCCAAATATGAGGGCGTTCCATGACACCAAATCTGGTTCAGTAATTCCATCAAACACCTTTCGTGCATATTCCAAAAGCCCAATCTTGAAGTAGAAATCTACAAGAGCAGTCCGAACCAGCAAATTTCCACCATAACCACTTCTGAGAGCCGCACAATGTGCCTGCTTTCCTGCCCTACATGCCGTATCAGCGGCGCAGGCCTTGATCACAATTGGAAATGTGTAGTTATCAGGTCTTCTGTAACTTGAATTCTGCGAGTCTGCATATAAGGACAAGAGCTGGGCATAATACCCATGATTTGAAAAGATCCGAAGAACCAAGTTTTGCAAGAGCAAGGTGGGATTTTTAACTGAAAGGTAGAAGGATACTGCGGAATGGGGATAGCCGAAAAAGATATACTTATCGATCGCTTCTCTTACTATGGATTCGTACTTTGAGATCCCGTTGACGATGAGGAGGGCGTGAATCTTATAGAGGGATTCGATACAGAGGCATCTGCTGATGGAGGAACTTAGCATGGAGATAGTATGTTACCCTTGGAGGGAATGTTGAGGCCATCTTTTTATTTATTTAGAGAAAAAAAAATTGTAAAGGAGTATTCTAATGAATTATGTTACATTCTAAAATTCATTTGCTATGAATTATGTTAAATCTAGGTAAATTATTTGGCTACTTATTTTAGAATTTAATAATTTAAATATTAAATTAATTATAATATTTTATTATATTAATTTATGATGTAACAATTTTGATTATATTAATTAAATCATAATTAATATAAGATAATATCTCAAATAATCATTACTTAATTTTTTACTAATCCAATTAAATAATAATTTCTATTTGGCTAAATTAAATATTAATAATATCAATTTACTAAATTTAACATATTTTTTTAATTTACCAATTTTAATCACTAGTGTTGATTTAATTTTATAAATTAATGTATCTGTGTATAATTTATTTGATTGAATATTAATAAGTTTAGTTTTTTTATCAATTATGATTGAACTAATAAAATTATGATTTGAATTATATAAAATATAATTAATAATTAATTAAGATATCATAAAACGAATATTAATATGTTTAGTTTTTTTATCAATTACATGAATCTTTTTCCTCCAATGTGTTCTATTAAAAGAAATTCTCATTTAAATTTAATAAAAGAAAATTATTTTTAATACTTTCTAACCAAGTCTTTTAAAGTATATATTTACCTTACATAACATAGGTTAGATCTAATATACTGCTCTCATAATAAGGTCATCAGAAAGCTGGCATTATATGACCAAATCATCTAAGAGAACTCTCCATAATCTTATCTTACACTAGAGCTACTCCAACTTTTCCACCTATATATTCATTTTACATTCTATCTCTAAGTGTAAAGCCATAGATCTACCTGAGCATCCTGATATCTTCAATACATAACTTAATTGTATGCTTCTCTTTTAATGGTTAACATTCTGCGCTATAAAACATTGCATGTTTCCCTTGATGAAACACTTGATTTAAAAAAGGGAGGAAGTTGCATTAGAAGCTCATTGGTAAAGGCAAGGATGTGCATGTTCAAATCTTGCTTAAATCCTGCATAAATCTTGTTATCTAATAGCCCCTAGGCCTAGAACAATTATTACGTCCTCTAACCGGACGTAGATCTACGTCCGGTCAGAGGCTTGTTACTCAATTTTTGCTGGGTATTTGATCAATATTGATAGGTATTGTTTGATAATATGAAGGAATACCGCTCTGGGAAGATCAATACCGAGTTATACAAGTTATACCGAGCAATGCCGAGTTATACCAAAAAATATCGAGTTTTTCTTGGTATTTTTTGGTATAACTCGGTATTGCTCGGTATAACTCGGTATTTCGTCTTCACCTAATGATATTTTCTCGTTATTATTGGTATTTGCTAGGTATTTCTCATTTTGTGCATGCAATCTTAGTGCCGACCAGACGTAGCTCTACGTACGTTCACCGGACCAAATAAAAGTTCCTAGGCCTAGGGGTTATTTTAGGCAGCTATTGATATCTCAAGTATTAAAAATTGTTGGGTGAAAAGTAAATTTTTTAACAGTTTATGGTTCTCATCAAATAATTGTATCAATCTAAGTCTCAAATTTATTAAATTTATTTTGAGATGAATTTAATATATGATGAATTTATTTAACATTTATGGCACTTCACCTATTTTTATTATGTTATCTTGACCCAAAATTTTCTATAACTTTTTAACTTTCACAAAAGTCATAAAATATATTTCTTACAACAACCACAATTGAAAATGAAGGTGTAAGAAAATTTATTCTTATTACATATATTCTTAAAAAGTAGCAAATAAGCTATAGCCAAAGTGATTTATGATAGCTTAATTCAGTTCATACTTTGTCTTTACATAATCTTAACCAATAACCTCTCACCCTGTTGATTGAGGAAAATTATTCTGTGCGGAATCCGAACGTGTTCGGAGGCTAATCCTGGCATGCCACATCATCGGAGCCCAGTGCATCCGGTGATATGGTGCGTCCGGATTCGTCTCCGAATACATTCGGATTCCGTATTTGTTACCTTGTATGTGTGAAATAGGAAGGTGTAAACACCATTCGATTTCAAATTCGAAATCCAACAAATCAGCTATAGTTACACATGCTAGCATTCAAAAACCCTTAGCAAACATATTTTGTGCAATGCACAGTCCCCATTCTTTAGTTAACAACGATTCTCGCTGTATTTCGATATTATTATATTAAGATTAAAAACATTTCATTACATAACTAATGTTTAGCTTATTTTAAAATTAATTTTATTATAAACTTAAATTTTTTTGCCATTTATCTTGATTTCCACATATATTCATTAAGAATATTTTTTTATTATATATTCCCACTTTTTCTTTTAATATTAGAACTTAATTTCAATATTAAAACTTATTTCATTGTTTTAATTTAAATTTTTTCATGCATTAATTCTAGTTATTTCATGCATCATGAATATATATAAATGCTCATGATCTAATGCTTGCATTATCAATCATATTTATCCTATTTATGCCATGCTTTGTCATTGCAAGATATTGGGTAATTATTGACCTCATTTTTGTATGAGGTCACCGTAACCTTTCATAAACTCCAGACCTTAGGATCAATTTAGATCTTAGATCAATCCAGACTTCAAATCAATATTAACTTCAAGTCAATCCAGATCTTAATCCAATTTAAACTCCAATTAAATTTAGACTTCAAACCTTGAGCCTATCCTTGATATGCTTCAATCTTATACAACCAATTTTTATCACCCAAATGATTATAAATGATTTGGGGAATCCAATCCTAATCATTCAAAATCAATATCCGATTCAAATCTAGAAAATCCAGACCAAAATCGAAGGCTAAGGGCTTAGGTCCTGAGATCGAGCCTTTCTCAGTATTTTTTCAAACACTTCAAAATTCAGTCAACTAACCTCTAATTCAGAATATATCAATTGCAAATTAATAAGACGTCTCTGGGGTTTGCCCTCCAAATTTGAGCTCAATCTGACGATTCTAACCCCAAAAACTGAATTGAAATCTGAAGGCTACAAAACCTTTAAATATTTATGGCTTATGCCACTAGACCTATCACTCAATGGAATTTGACCTTGGAGCCCCCTTTAAACCCTTTGATCACTTCCAGACCTTTGATATTTATATGTCAAACACTAACCTATATTTTTCTAGACTCATTTTGACCCATAATTGACCAGAGGTCAAAATGACCAGAATGCCCTTTAAGAGAATTTTTGGACTTTTGACCAAAATTCAATATAATTCAATCTCATCAACCACTAAAACCTTTTCTAGTTGACACTAAACATCATTTGGGCCTGTTGGATCCAAACCCAAACCATGGGTCAACTTGGTTGACCAGGTCAACTTAGATTGACCCAAATGTCACTTAAGGGAAAAACATTCATTTTGATTGAAATGACCTCCCCATGCCTTGGGACCACTCCCAACACATTCAAAATATCATCAAATTTGTTGATCTCATACATAGCCCCTGGGTCAACCTGGTTGACTAAGTCAATCTAGGTTGACCCAATGATTAATTAAGGGACCAAATAGGTCATTTGACTCAAATGATCCTTTTAGAACTTGAGACCACACCAATCAAACTCCAAATATCCAAACAAATCCATTGGACCCAAAATCAGCTCATGGGTTAACTTGGTTGACCAAGTCAATCTATGTTGACCCACTAACCCTTAAAGGGTTTAAATAGGTTAATCCAACCTATTTGACCTCTTCTACCCATATCACCCCTTCAAATCAACTCCTAATCATAGCCTAAGCATGTCTTAATCTTTGGTCAACCAAACCCAAATTGAGTTGACCAAGTCAACTCTCAATCCTTGGTCAAACCTTTATGTCATATGCTCTCACTTACCATTGCTTTGATCTTGACCCATTTTCTTAAGTTATTTAAAATTAATATCTACACCTTCTAAGTGCCACAACATCAGTATTAACTTTTGTTGACTGGTCAAAGCAAGTCAAAAGGCATTTAAACCCCTCTTTGAAGTGGTCAACCCTTTCTTTTAACCTCAAAAGTATAGGCTCCAGGCATGGGGATCACCCAACCTATTTCTCACACCTCCTCCCTGCCACCTCAGCCTCCATTAACTAGTCAAAGGGGTGAGCCCATGCTTAAAATCATTATGGATGGTCAACTCCCTAATCCTATCCCAACACCTCCTATCCTAGCTGCTCTAGGCATTCCATTCAGACCTTAAAGCTCTCCTTAAGCTCCCCAAATCAAGCTTATGGCTTGATTTAGCATAAAATGGCAGTGGTCCCTACTGTGAAAGCCTTCTTTTTTCTTTTCTTTTATGTTTTGGTATGATTTGAGATTTCCTTCCAGGTTCGTTTGGACGCAGTTGGGATCATTCAGGACGAACAGTTAAAACATTGGCAACCCGAGAGCATCGTCCCATGATGAAAATAATTATCATTCGTACGAAGGCAACCCGAGGGCACCGTCCAGGGACGAAATTAATTATCATCTGTAAGATCAGCCTAACAAGGAGATCATCCCGGGAAGAACCCTGAAATCATCCGGACGATCGAGTTCTTTAAGTATCCGAAATAAGATATTTTGAAGAGAGAGAAAAGCAGGAGAGAGAAAGAACGAAGGGAAGAGGAAGAAATTCACGTTTTGGACGTCATCGGTCCATTTTCGTCCATCGCCGTAGTTGGGAAAGTTAATCGACTCGAGGTAAGGCACATTATGACTTTCTCAATTTTTAGAAATATGATTTTTTACGAATTTTCTGTTTAAAATTTTGTTTCCGTTAGCGAAAAATGGGCATATCTTTGCACTGGTAAAACTTTTATTGGGTAACTTTTGGTATGTTGTAAAGATTATAATTTTGCATGTTTTGAGTATTTTCTGAAAGTTTTTCACCGGGTATTTTGAATTATGCGGAGTTTTTATTGAATAAAAATTATCTATATGTTGAAAAATATTGCTTCAGTATAATAAAAGTCTTGAAATGATGTTTTATACTATCTCTGGTAATTTGATAAT